ATGTTTATGGACATCCTATTTTTTCTATAGTCTTCTCTCAGCGATACAGAGATTGGGTTATGATCTGCAAACGTTTTTGGTAGTATTTCAGATTCCGTCACTTCCCTAATCATATTTATTGACATCCATATCATGTCAATTCGTGACCACGAGTTGTGACGTGCAGAATGGAATGTAAAGTCTGTTTTGTTTGCATTTCTCACTCCATTAAATTATACTCTTCTATTATTTGTATAAAACTGTTTGGTAGCATTCCTCCCATTTTATGATCTTTCTTTAAGTTTTTTCTATCCAGTCCTGTATCTGTCACTGAGTTGAAATCTCCCAGAATACATATGTTTTCGACTTCTGTTGATCTTAACACTTTTTGCACTTCTTTAAAAAATTCTCCTTGCTTTTGGTTAGGTGCATATATGTTCAATATTAACATTTTTTCCCCTCTTCTTATAATTGTAATAGCCAGTATCCTTCCATCTTTTGAATTAAATATCAATTCTGGGTTTAGTTTCTCCTTCACATATATTGCAACCCCTCTCTTTTTTTCCTCTGCAGAAGATACAAACAATTCTCCTAGCTGTTTACATTCTAAATACTTCACCTCTTCTTTCTTAATATGTGTCTCTTGCAAACAAATTACTTCAGCCTTTATTTTCTTAAGTTGATGAAATGTTTTCCTTCTTTTTTGAGCACTATTTAATCCATTTATATTTATAGACAGTATATTACAAGTGTTAAAAGTTGACATTTTCATGTTTAGTATTTCTTCCCTCTTGCTCTGTGCTTATATCTGGTTTGTACATGATAGGATGGTCTGTTCACTTTGGATTTATTCTTTGTTCTTATTTTCTTCTCTTTCTCCTTCTCTCTCGCCTTTCTTTCTTCCTCTTCTTCCTCTTCTTCCTCTTCTTCCTCCTCCTCTTCTTCTTCTATTCTCTCCTCTCTCTCCTCCTTTTCTTCTTCACCCTCTTGTGATTCTTCCATTTGCAGGCCTAGTTCTTCGCCATATTTTTCCAAAAAGTATTCTATTTTGAAAACCGAATCTATTCTGTGTCTTTGTCCTCTGAGGGTAAAAAGTACTCCTTCCGGTATCAGCCATCTAAAAATAATTTTATTTTCTTTCAGTAGATTAGTTAGAATATTATATGGCATCCTTCTCTCCCTCACCCTCCATGGGATGTCTTTCAGAAAAATTACTTCTTCTCCTTGAATTATAACTTTATTTTCATTGGCCACTTTCATAATTTTTTCTTTTAGATCTTTTCTGTAAAAGTTTATGTGTACTTCTCTTGGCTTCCTTGTTTTTTTAGCATACGCTGAATTTTTTCTAAATATAGCCTCTATTCCTTCTTCTATTTCTTCTTTATTTGATATTTTCAATTGTTCCGCTATATTGGTGGCCATAACTTCTTTCAGATTTTTGTCTATGGTTTCTGTTATATTTTGGCATCGTATAATCAAGGATGCTTTCTCCATTTCCAGTGTCTTCCATTTTTTCACATTTACTTTTTAATTCCTGTGCATCTAAATCCATCTCTCTTACTTTTTCCTTTATTTTTCCCTGCCTAGTGGCCATATTTATAATTTCTCTCCTATTACTTTGGATTTCTTGGTTGTTATTTTGGATCTGCCGCTTCAGTTCTTCTGTTTCATTCTTTATTTGCACCGTCAGTTCATCTATTTTTGCACTAACAGGTTCTATTTCTTTTTTTATTAGGGTAGGTAGGATATCTTTCATCGCATCTTTCATGGCTTGCGCCATTGCTTGGTTTACTGCTTGATTTACTGCTTGGGATACACTCTCCTGTATAGTTTTATTTATTTCTTTCATCGTTGCTTGTGGTATTGCCATGTTTGTTAATTTTAATTGTGTACTTCCTCCTCCTTGCCCTGGTGATGAAATGGATATTTTCCTACTTCCACTTCCTCCTGAGGCCATCCACTTTTTGGTTTGGTTTAGTTTTTTTTTTGGTCCCCTTTAAATTAATTATTTAATTATTATTTCAAATTTATTTATTCCCTTTTGTATTTTACTCAATTATGTGATTTAATTAATTAATTATTTCCTAATACAGCTATTGGGTTTGTCTTTTTAATTACTAGTTTGGCTTTATGTTTTGTTCTTCACCACTTCTTCACCACTTTTTTTCTTTTTGTTTCTGTATCCCTTTATATCATTCCCTGTTTTTTTAGTATTAGTATTCAATTTATCTAGTTCATCACTTTCAACTTTTTACCCCTCTTCTTTAACTTCTCAGCCTTTAATAGTTTCTATCAGTCTCTGTCAGTCTCTATAAGTCTCTATGTGCCCGTCTCCCTTTCTTATCTAGCAGCTTCAAAGTCTTTCTGTTGCTGCCTCTTCGTTAGCGTCTCCGGTTTGTTTTTACTCCTCTTGGCCCCTCCTCTCTCCTCCGTCGCCTCTCTCCTGCTGTCGTCTCCGGCTCTCTCCTACTCCACTCGCCCCTCCCTTCTTCTCCGTCGCTCCTTCGATGACGTCAGCGTCCTCCTCCGCACCTCCGCCTTTCTGCCTCTCGCCTCACGTCGCTCCGCTCAAATGTTCTGCTGCAGACGGCCCCTCCAACTCTGCTCCCGGCTTCCGGCTCTTTAAAGTCGCAGCGTCCTAGAAAAAAAGTGAGATAACAAAAAAAAACTTTTTGCAGTTCAGTCTTTTACTTGTTTCCCTCTGTTTCCGCCCCTTACTTTTAATAAGCCTTTTCTCTCTGTTTTTCTTTTCAGCGTTATTGCAGCAGCCGCTTCAAGCCCCTATTGTGCCTATCCCTGATTCTGGCTTTTAGCTGTCTTCGCTCCTTTTCTAAGTTTTAACTATCGTTATTAATAGCCCACTATCTTCGCAATAGATCCTTTAAAAAATTTTTTTACGGTACTTAGCTTCGGTTAGCTTTCATCCATTCGTTGACTCTGTTACCCCCTCCCCGGCTCAGTTTCTCTCGGCGTGATTTCTGCGTCTCCGCCGTCGCTCCTTTCATAGAAATGACTCTCTCACTTCAGGACAGCTGAAGTTTTCTTCCGGGGGGGTCGCCACCCCACCAGGTCTTCTCCAGAAGAGTCCCTTGCCTAACTTTTCCCTTCTTGAAAAGTTTTTGAAACGTTGTAATTGTTTAAGAGAGCCTAGGATCCAGGAGAGCGGTGTAATCCCGTCCTCCTTCATCGAGACCGGATCCGGAAGCCACAGGCTCCAGGTCCACACAAACACACTTCTTAGCTCCACCCATATACTCTCAGGCTGATTTTGCACTAGAGCTGCCTCGCTGTTGCGCCGCCTTTTGCCCCGGTTCTATCGGTCAACTTCACACCCGAAGCCGCGCGGCTGATTTTGACCCGTGGCTTTGCCCGATTTTTCCCACAGTTTTGTGATCCTGTTTTTTGAGGATCAACGAAACTGCAGAGGAAATCGGGCGAAGCCGCGGGTCAAAATCAGCCGCACGGCTTCGGGTGTAAAATTGACCAACAGAACTGGGGCAAACGGTGACGCAACAGTGAGGCAGCTCTAGTGCAAAATCAGCCTCAGTTACCAACCAATCACCTCACTCACTCATCCCTCTCTTTTACCCCCCTTGTTCTTGTGCAACTTACCAAACATTTAAAGGAACACACACTTAAAACTTTAAATCATTACAACTTCTCACAAATGAAGCCCATCTTGTCCTCACGGAGGAAAACAAACATGGTGCATTCCCTGCAGATGACTGGAAATGGGCCTTGAGCATTCATCATCACCTTCCAAATGGATTCATTCACCCTAGAATTTCTTTTGTGTGTTGATGTAACCTGAAAGCTTAGCTTCTTACTGGGTTGTCAGGCCTGATCCCCAGGTCAAGAGCTCTTTGGCTCTTGCCCTTCAGTTTGTGCCTCTGATGAGGAGGAGCCTTTAGAGTTCAAACGCTGGCAGCCCCTGCCTCTCAACAGCAACGGCAGAGGGCAGGGCCAGCAGATGACCCCAGGCAAGCAACAATCAGCAACAATCCAGACAAAAGAGCAAAACAGAACCCACTTTCCAGTAGGCTACAAGCACCCACTCACCCTCTAAAACTGTCCTCTCACGCAGCAACGTCAGTTGATGCTCCCCAGCAGTTTAAGAAAGGCAGAAAACTCTCACCTCGCCAGCAGCTCACTCCCATGCTACTTCCCCCAGCCTAGCTGACTCAGCTCAACCAAGAGGGGTCCATTCCTGGCTCAGCTCTGTGGACTCCTCATTAGAGCCCTCCGGAAACATTTATTTTTCTGGACCAACATTTCACTGGAAAGGAAAGTGTGTCTCATCACTGTATCTTCTACAAGAACTTTACATGGTGCTTGTTGGTTTTTAGGTGGTCACAGCACTGGGACAAACATGGCACCCAGAACACTTCACGTGTGCCCACTGTAGGAAAGAAATGGGTGCCCGACCCTTCTTTGAACGGGACAGCAAGGCCTATTGTCAGGAAGATTATCATCAGCTCTTCTCCCCTCACTGTGCTTATTGTACTGCACCAATTAAAGAGGTATGTAATATTGATCTTACATTCTGACTGTCCCACCGCGGGCCCTGCTGCAGGCCTGGCATCCTCCGCCCCGGGACAGCACGGACCCGTTGGAGGCACCAGGGGTGGCAGCAACCTGAGATCGAGATCGCCAGGTGGGGCGCAACTCGGCTGGTGGGGGTCAATGCCCACACGGCCCCCGTCTCTGCAGAGGGGTGGTCCACCTGAGGGAGCCTCCAGTCTGCGGGCCTGGAGCTGGGAACAGGGACTCCGAGGACATCGGCGAGGAGGGGGGAGCAGGCGGTGCAGGAGACCCAGGAGAGACCACCAGAGCTGAAGAAGACAGTGGGGCTGCCTGCACCTGACCGAGCATACCCTCCCGAGCCAGGCTGGCCAAGGGTGCAGCCAGGACATGCCCGGTCCCGGCTGCGAAGACATCCCCCCGACCCTGAGGCCCTGGAGAACCACTTACCACCGTAGAAGGAGGGCCCGGAGCTGCCTCCATCCCAGGAGACGACCGTGGCATCGACCCAGGAAGCGACCACGCCCACTCCGGGGCTGACTCCTGAGGGCAGGATCAGCTGGGAGAAGGGCAGGGGGTGGGACAAGGGATGGAACCACCAGGGGGCTCTCCACCAATGGGAAGGGGATAGGGATGACCAACACATAGGCGAGGCAATGGCACATGGGTGGGGGAAGAGAGGGGAGGCGACACCGGGTGGAGGGAAAGTATAAAAGAAGGGAAGCAAGAGAGAGTCGGGGAGGATTTTCGAGGTGGCAAAGGCTGTGTCAGTGCGGAGAGAAGGGTGGCCACTAGTTCCGAGGGAAGGGCATCCTGGAGGTGCTGTAACCCCAGGCCCCTCCCAGTCTGAGACTCTCACTTCCCTTCAGGCCCGAGGAACCCCTTCAGAATGGCAGAAGGCCCTCCTCTGCCCGTGGACATCCGCAGGCGTGACACTGACTATTGATTCTCTCTGATTCAGAGTTGAGGCCAGCTGGGAAATTATCCACTCTGTTTGCCTCTGTCTTTCTCTTCCCCTGTTGTTACCCTTTTAACCATCATGGCTGGAATGTACTGGAATTCAGTTACTTTTTTTCTTTTCTTTGCAGAAAGTTCTTACAGCCATGGATCAGACTTGGCACCCAGAGCATTTCTTTTGTGCCCACTGTGGGAAGATGTTTGGGAATGATGGTCTGTTATTTTCCTCTTTCTCCCCTCCCAAATCCTTGACCCTTCCCTTGGCTTTTGCATGGCTGCATACATAATACATATCCATAGGTTGCCCTTTTTTTGTGGTAAATTTTTATTGGTTTTCCCAAAAACAAACAAATAAACAAACAAAAACAGTGCAACACAAAAAGAGCTTGGTATCTTGTACTATATCAGTTCAAATTCATAAAGTTTAACTAATGTAAATTAACTAATACACTAATATTTTGCAACCCTAAATGACAAATAATATAATAAATTCATTTGAGAGTTACCTAAACATATCCTACCATTGTTTTCCTTTAATAATGCAAAATCAAAGGCTCTGCTACAAATTTTCCATATTTATCCATCTGTTCTGACCCTTTTCTTATTATTATTAGTTTTCTTTATAGATATATATTATCCATAGTATAATAATTTACATTTGAGTCTGATCGTTAACATTATTATCTATCCATTTGTAAAGTCTCAACCATTTTTTTAAAAACAGTCTTCTCCTTTTCCCTGAATCAACAAGCTCAATTTATCCATTTCTGCTAAATTCAACAATTTCAAACTTATTTCTTCCCTAGTTGGAATTTTTTCAGATTTCCAGTATGTGGCCAAAAGTATTCTGACTGCTGTTATTATAAGTACAACTAATCGTGCATCACCATGTCTAAGATTTTCTGACATTATATTTAACAAATATATTTCTGGGTTTAATGTCAAATTTCTGGGTTCAATGTCGGGTTAGAACGGATAAAAGGAAGTACTTCTTCACCCAAAGAGTGATTAACATGTGGAATTCACTGCCACAGGAAGTGGTGGCGGCTACAAGCATGGACGGCTTCAAAAGGGAATTAGATAAGCATATGGAGCAGAGGTCCATCAGTGGCTATTAGCCATAGGGACTCTGGGGCAAGTGATGCTCTGTCATCTTGGTGCTTGGGGGTGTGTGTGTCAGCAGTGGGATGGCTTCTAATGTCCTGGCCCCACTGGTGGACCTCCTGATAGCACTGGTATTTCTGGCCACTGTGTGATACAGAGTGTTGGACTGGATGGGCCTTTGGCCTGATCCAACATTGGCATCTCTTATGTTCTTATGTTCTTATATATTCATCATTTCCCAAATTATTTTCTGTGCTTTCTCCCAAAACCGTTGAATTTTTACACATCCCCACCACGTATGATAAAACGATCCTACATTAACTTTACATTTCCAACACTTATTTGAGCTATGTACATAGCATTTTGCTATTTTCTCTGGTGGCCAATACCATCTATGAAACACTTTAAGGATATTTTCTTTATAAGCTATGGCTCTCAAATATTTTAGACCATTTATCTATTTCTATATTATGTCCTATGTCATTCATCCACAAAATCACTGTGTGTTTAACTATTTGGTCTTGCATAAGATTTTCTATTAGTAGTTTATACAGTTTCTGAATCATTTTATCATTGGACGAGAGCCAGATCCTATCCAACTCATTCTTATTGTCCTCAAAACCCTGCGTTGCCTCCTTAGAAAATCTAGATTTTAATTGTGCATTTTCCCACCATGATAATTGTATATTATGTTGTCGGCTAAGGATATTCTCCGATTTAAGTTTATTATTCTCATCTAGTAATATATTATACGTTATTCTATTCTTTTTCATTAAAAAATGTTGGTTTAACAAAAGCTTCCATGGGTGAAACCCATTTTGGTGTTTTCCTGTAGTATCTCTGTTTAATTAGATTCCAAATTTTTGCTAGCAATCGCCTTACTATATGATTCTGAAAGTTGGAGTGTATCTTATCCTTTCCATATCAAATGTATGCATGCCAACCCATATATAAATCATGTCCCTCCAACTTCAAACATCTTAAATCATCCAAGTTTATACAGTCTTTGATCCAACAGAGTGCAGAGGCTTGATAGTATAACTTCCAATTTGGAACACCAAAGCCTCCTCTTTCTTTTTTCTCCTGTAATAATTTTAGCTTTATTCTGGCTCTTTTTGGATACCATATAAATTGCCTTGTAATTTTGTCCAATTCTGTAAAAAAAATTATTTCTTTTAAGAACTGGGATAATCTGAGCTAGAAATAAAAAACCTTGGTAGAATATGCATGGATTATAAATGCACGCTCAACAAGGCATTGCAAGACCATGCATACCCGGTCCCTGTGGTCAGTCAGGTGTCGGCGTCATTGGCGGGGGCCTGGGTTTTTGGAAAACTGGATTTGGCCCAAGCTTACCAGCAACTTCCAGTGGATGATGCCACCACAGAAGCCCAGACCATTGTTATTGCAAACAAAGGGGATTTTGAAAGCTAACAATGCTAAAAATATGAAAGAATATCTTAAAGGGACTAGATTGATATTATATAAGAAATTTGAACTAACTGCTGTGAAATACCTGTGTTTTTTTTCTTTTATATTTTTATTGTTATAAAATTGATTAATAATAGTAATAGCAGATAGGATATAGAAAAAATGAATTGTTTATTGGGAACAGAATTTTACTTAATGATATCTGTTGTGGACTATAGATTAACAAAGGGAAAAAGGGAATTATGTATCTAAAGATGTTATGAACGAGGCAATGGCTGGATACTTTTGAAATGTATGGCTCTCTTTCTTTGTTTTATATAACTCTTAAAAAAATTAATAAACTTTGCCCATCAACAATGGGCAAGCAGGGAAGAAAAAAAGAAAGTGCTAGCCACCAAAAGCGCCCGTAAGGCCCAGGGAATCCTCGCATGTTGCACCTGGACTTTGCTGGGCCATTTCAGGGTCAAACCTTTTTTATTTTAGTCGATGCTTACACCAAGTGGCTGGAGGTGACCCCCGTAGCCTCCACATCTTCCTGGTTCACCATCCGAGCTATGTGGCAGATTTTTAGCACACACGGGATACCTGATACTTTGGTAACTGATAATGGAGCTGCATTCACATCCTCCGAGTTCCAGAAATTCACACAATACTACAGGACCAGACATGTACGCTCGGCCCCTTTTCACCCTGCCACAAATGCCCAGGCAGAGCACATGGTCAGAGCGACCAAGGAAGCACTCCGCCGCATGGATCACGGGGATTGGGAATATAAACTGGCAGTATTCCTGTTTGGCCAGCGGATGACCCCCCATTCTACTACAGGTAATTCTTTAGCTGAACTCATGGGCCAGTGCCTCACCACACGGTTAGACTACCTCCACTGAGAACGGGCCCCAGAACATGACACGGCAACTCAGGATCAGGCCGCCACCAGAGGATTCTTCCCCGGGGACTCGGTGTATGCTAGAAACTACGCTTGGGGCCCCGCATGGATCCCCGCAAAAATAGTCTGGGTTACAGGACCGCACTCCTATGAAGTGTCCTGTAAAGACGGGCAGCTGTTCAAATGACATATAGATCAACTGCGGCGGTGCATAATTAACTCTGATCCCGAGACACCGGAGGACTGCGAAGTCAAGGATGCCGGACTTGGGGAGCAGGAAAGGCCCACTCCACAGCCAACACACATGGGCACACCGATGGAGGAACCCAACAGCAACAGTCCAGCACAGGACCCTACACCAGAACCGAGCAGCGTGCCTGCCGTGTTTGACGCCCCAACCACTCCACAAGAAACTGGGAGCCCAGCCCCGGGAACTCCAGCTCAAGGCCCAGGGTTGCGCCATTCGGCAAGAACACGGCGCCAACCTGAATATTTATGGGACTATGTTTGCTAGGGATGTGTCCGGACTAGGGGGGGAGGGGTGTTATGTTCCAACATAGACCGTGTGCATGGTTGCTCTGCACATGCAGTCAGCAAAGTAGCTAGAGCTTCAATCCCAGGAATAATGGGTACAGAGGTTCCTAGTAGCAGTCTATCAGCTGACTAGGATCCTAGAGGAACCCTATCAGATGTAGAATTATGTAAATAAGCCAATCACGGGTGTAGGGGTGTGTTTGGGTGGAGTCGTTTGTTGTGCATTTAAGCAGCCCACGGGCTTGCCCTGTATCTCTCTTTCTGAAATCACTTGGTATGAGCTGAAATCACTCAATGATGCATCAGTCTCAGTACTTTACAGGGACTTTCATATATGTGTGTGTGTGTGTGTGTGTGTGTTTGTGTGTGTGTGTGTGTGTGTGTGAGCTGAGAATTCCTCCATATGTGGACATAATAAGAGCCCTACTGGATCAGAGCAGTGGTCCATCTAGTCCAGCGTCCTGTCTCACACAGTGGACAGCCAGTTACACTGGAAGGCCAACAACAGGATGAGGTCTTCTCTGATGTTGCCTCCTGGCAATGATATTCAGAAGTTTACTGCCTCTGAATGTAGAGATTCCCTTTAGACACCATGGCTAGTTGATATTTACGAATCTATCTTGCATGAATCTGTTTAATCCCCTTTTAAAGCCATTTATGTCTGTGGCCATTACTACATCCTCTGGCAGCAAATTCCACATTTTAATCACTCGTTCAATAAAGTATTTTCTTTTGTCAACCTTGAATCTACTGCCCATCAACTTCATTGGATGCCTTTGAGTTCAACTATTTTTGGAGAGAAACAGTTCTCTCTACCCTGTACATAATTTTATAAACCTCTATCATACCCTCTTCTGTACTTTTTTCAGCTCTGCAATGTCCTCTTTGCGATACAGTGGCCAGAACTGCACGCAATATTTCCAAATGAAGCTGCACCGTATTTCTATATCAGGGGTGCTATAATATGGGCTGTTATATTTTCAATCCCTTTCCTAATAATCCCAGCATAGAGTTTGCTTTTTTCACTGCTGCGGCACACTGGGTTGGCACTTTCATTGAGCTCTCCACTATGACCCCAGAGTCCCTTTCTCTTATGTTCTTATCAACAAGGCCAGTCAGTCCCTTAGAACTTGTGTTTGGGATCATTATGATGCCACCGGTTGTTCTTCAGTTCTTTTTTAGAAAGTGTTGTATTTCTCTCCTGGGAGTATTTGCTCCTAGGTCAATGGCATGTCAGAGACTTATTATTTTCTTTCTTTGGGAAAGCCATTAGAAGAGCATAAACATACTCAAACCCACTGTGGGACTTTGATCACAAACTAGCACTAATATGTTCCCAGGAGCCCAGCTCCAGTAATTGGGCCTCTAGTGGATCTCTGAGCACTTAGTGGTGAGCTCAGGTCCCCAAACTGCTAATTATAATTGGAGTACAGAAAGTTTTGCTGGTGAATCCACTTCCTTCCCAAACTCTAAATGGACTGGTTCCTTTTGCCAACTCATGGCAACCACTCTTTGTCATCAGGGGCAGCTTCTCCTGAGAATTACTTCCCATTTGACCACGTCATGCTAGAAGAAGCAACTTTCAGAAATTTGCACACATTAGTAGTAGTTTCTTAATCCTTGGTTTGGTGGCTAGTCTCCCATGTTCTGGTGCAAAAACTGCTTTGCACAATCATGGATTGTTCCCCTCTTGCTCTGTAAGCATCTCAAAAGCATTGTCATCACAGGCGTTCAGCAAATCTGTGACCTTGCTATGACCTGATCCTGGCTGTACCAGATTACTGTTCTTTGAATCATGTGTATTACAGCTAGGTGATCAGTGGTGTGGACACGCTAATCTGTTTGGAGTACTTACATTTTGTTGTTAGGGGGAAAACATTATACATAGCTAGAACATCAACTCACTATTTTTGTAACAATGAGACTCCCCAAAAAAATATATTTGAATCCAAAGAGAAGCATGTTTCCACAAAACAAATGCCAGGCAGATCAGATGAAGGGATCTTGACCCCAAAGGCTCGTTGAACTCTACATTCCCAGGAAGGAGCCCCAGGGAAATAAAGCAGCTGAGGAAAAGGGAACATTACTCCCTGGTCCTGCACAGAACAATCAATGCGCACAAGTTGATCAGGGCACACAGTCTACTCTGCCATTTTATGCTGCATTAATTGGGAGGCAGCAGGTCAAGATTCCACCTCTGTGCCAAAGCAAGAGGGAGACCCCGATCGACACATTATATGTCTCAAATGAAAAGTAGCCCCATGTAAGCCGGGCTCTGACTGCTGATGATTGTGAAGTGGGTGGGGCAGGCAAAGAAAGATGGATCATCTTAATGCATGGATCTGGCTAACCCTCCATTGTTTGTGTACATTTATGTTCGCTCTCCTTTAATTTTCTGTAGAGGATGGGAGTAGGAGATGCAAGGACAATTAACTGTTAAGGATTGATAAGCATAGGTCAATGCCAGACAGAAGAAAGTGACCAGCCCTTCTCCAATCCAGCTTTCTCCGGGGAAGACATCCAAATTCTCAGTAGTCAGAAACACTCTTCGCATGATGAGTGTCGTGTATAGCCAAAACCCTAGTCTAATCTTGACCAGAATGGGGGAATGTTCTTTGTCTAACAACCATTGCATCTAATTAGGATGACTCTCTTTTCACCTTATGAAGTGAGGATCTATATAGGTTATGCTGCTATAATTCCTCTGAGTGGACCTGCATAGCCAGTGACCGACCAAGCAGAGCATAATCTGCCAGATGTTTATTGTGATTTGCCAGGTATTTGACAACCCCCATTTTTCTGTCCAAGGCAGGCAGGAATAATAGGTGACTCATCAATATCTTGGGAGGGTGGGCTTTGTTTGATTTGATTTGGACGTTGCATGGGTTTTCTATAAGGGATAAAGAGAAATCAGCACTGGAACACCTTTGGGTTCTTTGCTTTCCACTTATGACACACCCAAATTTCTTCTGATTGTAGACTTATTGTGTCTACATAAGATATATTTAATTTCAAGCGGTCAGGAAGGTTGAAACAAGCACTGATGAACAGTTATCCTAAAGCTCTAGATCTGATCGATCTTGCTTTAGTACCGAAAGTGCTGGTGACTCTTTGAATCAGTGTGAAGGTTTCCCGGTGTAACAGGCCAGATTAACCCCCCGGCCAGAGTAAACCCGGGGTTACTCTAGGCTAGGCCAGAATAACCCCGGGGGTACTCTGGCCGGGGGGGGGGGGAATCTGGCCTGTTACAGCCGGCCAGATTAACCCGGGGTTACTCTAGGCTAGGCCAGAATAACCCCGGGGGTACTCTGGCCGGGGGGGGGGGGAATCTGGCCTGTTACAGCCGGCCAGATTAACCCGGGGTTACTCTAGGCTAGGCCAGAATAACCCCGGGGGTACTCTGGCCGGGGGGGGGGGGAATCTGGCCTGTTACAGCCGGCCAGATTAACCCGGGGTTACTCTAGGCTAGGCCAGAATAACCCCGGGGGTACTCTGGCCGGGGGGGGGGGGAATCTGGCCTGTTACAGCCGGCCAGATTAACCCGGGGTTACTCTAGGCTAGGCCAGAATAACCCCGGGGGTACTCTGGCCGGGGGGGGGGGGAATCTGGCCTGTTACAGCCGGCCAGATTAACCCGGGGTTACTCTAGGCTAGGCCAGAATAACCCCGGGGGTACTCTGGCCGGGGGGGGGGGGAATCTGGCCTGTTACAGCCGGCCAGATTAACCCGGGGTTACTCTAGGCTAGGCCAGAATAACCCCGGGGGTACTCTGGCCGGGGGGGGGGGGAATCTGGCCTGTTACAGCCGGCCAGATTAACCCGGGGTTACTCTAGGCTAGGCCAGAATAACCCCGGGGGTACTCTGGCCGGGGGGGGGGGGAATCTGGCCTGTTACAGCCGGCCAGATTAACCCGGGGTTACTCTAGGCTAGGCCAGAATAACCCCGGGGGTACTCTGGCCGGGGGGGGGGGGAATCTGGCCTGTTACAGCCGGCCAGATTAACCCGGGGTTACTCTAGGCTAGGCCAGAATAACCCCGGGGGTACTCTGGCCGGGGGGGGGGGGAATCTGGCCTGTTACAGCCGGCCAGATTAACCCGGGGTTACTCTAGGCTAGGCCAGAATAACCCCGGGGGTACTCTGGCCGGGGGGGGGGGGAATCTGGCCTGTTACAGCCGGCCAGATTAACCCGGGGTTACTCTAGGCTAGGCCAGAATAACCCCGGGGGTACTCTGGCCGGGGGGGGGGGGAATCTGGCCTGTTACAGCCGGCCAGATTAACCCGGGGTTACTCTAGGCTAGGCCAGAATAACCCCGGGGGTACTCTGGCCGGGGGGGGGGGGAATCTGGCCTGTTACAGCCGGCCAGATTAACCCGGGGTTACTCTAGGCTAGGCCAGAATAACCCCGGGGGTACTCTGGCCGGGGGGGGGGGGAATCTGGCCTGTTACAGCCGGCCAGATTAACCCGGGGTTACTCTAGGCTAGGCCAGAATAACCCCGGGGGTACTCTGGCCGGGGGGGGGGGGAATCTGGCCTGTTACAGCCGGCCAGATTAACCCGGGGTTACTCTAGGCTAGGCCAGAATAACCCCGGGGGTACTCTGGCCGGGGGGGGGGGGAATCTGGCCTGTTACAGCCGGCCAGATTAACCCGGGGTTACTCTAGGCTAGGCCAGAATAACCCCGGGGGTACTCTGGCCGGGGGGGGGGGGAATCTGGCCTGTTACAGCCGGCCAGATTAACCCGGGGTTACTCTAGGCTAGGCCAGAATAACCCCGGGGGTACTCTGGCCGGGGGGGGGGGGAATCTGGCCTGTTACAGCCGGCCAGATTAACCCGGGGTTACTCTAGGCTAGGCCAGAATAACCCCGGGGGTACTCTGGCCGGGGGGGGGGGGAATCTGGCCTGTTACAGCCGGCCAGATTAACCCGGGGTTACTCTAGGCTAGGCCAGAATAACCCCGGGGGTACTCTGGCCGGGGGGGGGGGGAATCTGGCCTGTTACAGCCGGCCAGATTAACCCGGGGTTACTCTAGGCTAGGCCAGAATAACCCCGGGGGTACTCTGGCCGGGGGGGGGGGGAATCTGGCCTGTTACAGCCGGCCAGATTAACCCGGGGTTACTCTAGGCTAGGCCAGAATAACCCCGGGGGTACTCTGGCCGGGGGGGGGGGGAATCTGGCCTGTTACAGCCGGCCAGATTAACCCGGGGTTACTCTAGGCTAGGCCAGAATAACCCCGGGGGTACTCTGGCCGGGGGGGGGGGGAATCTGGCCTGTTACAGCCGGCCAGATTAACCCGGGGTTACTCTAGGCTAGGCCAGAATAACCCCGGGGGTACTCTGGCCGGGGGGGGGGGGAATCTGGCCTGTTACAGCCGGCCAGATTAACCCGGGGTTACTCTAGGCTAGGCCAGAATAACCCCGGGGGTACTCTGGCCGGGGGGGGGGGGAATCTGGCCTGTTACAGCCGGCCAGATTAACCCGGGGTTACTCTAGGCTAGGCCAGAATAACCCCGGGGGTACTCTGGCCGGGGGGGGGGGGAATCTGGCCTGTTACAGCCGGCCAGATTAACCCGGGGTTACTCTAGGCTAGGCCAGAATAACCCCGGGGGTACTCTGGCCGGGGGGGGGGGGAATCTGGCCTGTTACAGCCGGCCAGATTAACCCGGGGTTACTCTAGGCTAGGCCAGAATAACCCCGGGGGTACTCTGGCCGGGGGGGGGGGGAATCTGGCCTGTTACAGCCGGCCAGATTAACCCGGGGTTACTCTAGGCTAGGCCAGAATAACCCCGGGGGTACTCTGGCCGGGGGGGGGGGGAATCTGGCCTGTTACAGCCGGCCAGATTAACCCGGGGTTACTCTAGGCTAGGCCAGAATAACCCCGGGGGTACTCTGGCCGGGGGGTTAATCCGGCCTGTTACACCGGTATTAGAGGATACCTTTCCTGCAAGTTCTCCAAGCAGAAAGATGGTACGTTTTTACGTCTGCATGATGAATCCTTCACTCCAAAGTAACCTTTCTATATTTGCCTCCATAGGTTTCCATGAAAAGGATGGGAAACCATACTGCCGGAGAGATTATTTGACCCTTTTCTCTCTCAAATGCAAAGGCTGTGACCGGCCAGTGATGGATCAGTACCTGTCGGCCCTGAATGCTGTCTGGCATCCTGAGTGCTTTGTGTGTGGGGTAAGCATACAGAAGGCACATAGCCACAACAAATTCTAATCACAAACAGAATTCTGATAAAAAGTTAAAAATCAGATTTTAAAAGTCTAAGATAGCATCTCTAGAATTTATATCCCAGTTCTGTCTGCCCACTTCTGGGTAGGGGGAATTGCATCAGATCTTGCCGGTCCCTGATGGTATTAGGCAGGTCGGGGCCAGGACCAAAAAGGCCCCAGCTCTGGTCAAGGACAGCCGGACGTCTTTGGAGCCAGAGATCACCAGCAAGTTGTTATCTGCTGGGCACAAAGCTCTCCTGGGGGCATACCAGAGGAGGCAGTCCCGCAGATACATACGCTGGTCCCAGATCGCTCAAGGCCTTAGAGGTCAATACCAAAATCTTGAACCTGACTCGGTATTCCACTGGAAGCCAGTGTAGCTGGCGCAGCACAGGTTGGATATGTGCCATCCATGATGTTTCCTTCAGGACGCACGACGCCACATTCTGGATCAGCTGGAGCCTCCCAGTCGGTCTCTCCCACTGAATATTTTTTGTTTTCCATACAAGACAAACACAAAATAGACAAACATACATACAACAAGAGAGGGGCTTCTGTTTACAACATTAATTTGTCTATTAAATTACCTCATACATTACCAAATTGTATTTTTTAATTTCCCCCCCACCTTGTATTTTAAAATATATCATTGCTTATAACTAAAAAGAGAGAGGTTTAGTTCATATTTCCTTGTATTTCGGTTGTGTGTCCACATAATTTATTTATTGGTTTATTCCATCCATTTGTAAAATCTTAACCATGCATTCTCAAAGTTTTCTTTATTTTGTCCTTTCAAAATTAATGTTAGTTTGTCCATCTCTGCCCTTTTAAGTATTTTATTCATGATTTCTTCTTTTGAAGGTACCTAATTTTTCCTCCAGTATTTGGCATATAATATTCTTGCAGCTGTCACTACATGTATAATAAGATAAGAGTCTTGCTTTTTACAATTTTCTGGCAATATATTCAATAAAAACAACTCTGGCACATAAGGTATATTACATTTTAGCATTTTTTTTA